CCCGATCCAATCGTCATCCTTAAACACTCAGATATCCCATTAAAAGCATAAAGAGAGGCTGAAATATTTCTTTCAAATTTCATTCTCTTCATGGCTTCACTAAGCATGGATGGGTTGTCACTGTAGTTATCGTCTCCCATGGGTTTTGTTATCTCTTCTGCAATCTCAAATGGCGAATAGCCCATATACGATCCAATATCATCAACAAATAGTAAATCCGTCAAACCCAGATCAGTACTTTCTGCGTTTCCCTCCACTTTCGGCTCATCTATACCTAAAGAATGATCAATGCCTACGATATTCCTAGAGCCATAACTTTCTCTTTCTATAAAACAATCACTGTTAGCATCTGGGATTTCAAATAATTGTTGGAAATCCGAATCTTGAACCTGAGTTACCTCTTGAAACTGTTGTTGATGTTGGAAAGAATGTGTGATTGCCGCCATTGATGAGCCATTCGAAAGATTGGTTGCATTTCTTGCTCTTAGTCTTTGCAGGAGAAGATTAGTGATTTTGGACGAAAGAGCAGGAGATTTGTTCGATGGATTACATGGCCAGAAATTGGTACGTGTATTGGCTCCCCGGAGCAAACAGGCGGCTTCGTCGTAAGCTCTTGCAGCCTCCTCTGCTGTATCAAATGTGCCTAACCATACTCTTATCTGCTGTATGGTGTCCTTAATCTCGGCTACCCATCTTCCAGAGGGCCGCTGGCGAACTCCGACGAACCTCTTTCGTGCCCTAATAGCTCCTCCGACAAGCGCCCCACCATGTGTGTGATCCCAGATGATTTCACCATTACCGCCGTTTTCTCTCTCTTCTCCCTCGACGTCTTTCCTTTTTCTCATCATTTTCATCATTTAAATTTAGGGTTTTCTTTTCTTGTTTTGGGTATGAATAAAGTTGTGTCACAGATAAGTATATATAAGAGTTCAGTACGAGTGGAGAGTTGGAGATATGGTGCCATTACAAGCAGAAGTATTGTAAGGATCGTCAGCATTTGTTGGAACATATTTGTCTAATGTATAGCAAATATATGCTGATAATGCTACAAATAAGTACAGTAGCACAAGAAGAGTGTTACATGACATTTTGTTTGACTAGGTCAAGATATAGGGCAACATATTTGGCATATTGAGTGTCCCATGAACATATATGTAAACTTTCATTTAATTGGCTCAATGAGAATTATACTTATGTAATGTTTGTTTTTTAAAAACAACATTTTTATAAAGAGGGATTGACGAGCCTCTAGGCAAACAGACATGATATAGTGCTAGATAAAGGATGGTTGCCAAATGCGCCAATCCATCGGTGGAAGGCTAAGATATGTAACATGTGGTATATGATGATTGAAATAGTTCATTTTATTAGAGTGAAAAACGTTTTTGTTTTAAGGGAAAAGATTTAGGACGTAACGAAGTTTTATTTTTATTCACGTTTCACTATATTTTGTAACAATAGTAAACTTTCATTTGTGTTCAAAAAATACATTTACGACAGGTTATTATAGGTTAAAATCTAATTGACATCTACACGACATTTAAGAGTAATACAAGGTCCAAACTGAAAATATGTGCAATTATGGATTACCTTCTCGATTTAGGACATCTTGGACCTAAGACAACCTAAAAAAAGGTTCAATGTGTGCCCTAATTTAGTCCATGGTAAATCAAACTATGCCCTTTTCGTTTTTATCTCCCTTCTTTAACCATTTTTTTCAAGACTCAAGGGAAAAAAGATAACATCTAGGAGTCGGTCGATCCAAAAGACACAAATAAGAAGTTGAAGTCAAGAAAGATAGATGAAATGGAAGCTTATGATCTTTCCCTGAAATTTGTTCATTCTTTAAATGTGTTGGTTGTTACAGAAGTTGTTCACTCATAAATTAATGTTCTTTGTGCTGTTTAGTGGTTAAGTATAATGTATTCAAGTTAGGGATTAATGATAGTTAGTAGTCATGAAGTGGCTATTAGTATTTTTTTAACGTATTTTGGCTGTTGTTATTTTGGATTAATGAAAGTTGGCTTAATGGCTTAACAGCTTAACGACTATTAATTTTTTTTTTTTTTTTTTTTGACAAACTTTCATGGAATATAGTATTGCTTAATGATTGTTAATGGCTTGAAGAAATATAGTATTTCTTAATGATTTCTAATTGTTTTTTTTTTTTAACAATTTCCATGAAATATATAGTATTGCTTAATGGCTATATATGACATACAGTGACAGTTCCCTTATTGACATTTTCCTTATCTAAATGTAATGTTAATTGACAAACTTACATGAAATATATATCAAAAGTTTGTACAAAGTATCATATGGTTACAAAAGGTGTGCAATTACAAAAGTTGAGCCCACAAGTGCCATGGACATAACAAAAAAAACCAACATTTTTCTTGCATATTTCCAAAAAATTTAAGTAAAAGAGTGTATCATTGCAAGCGGTTTTTCTTTTCTGCTTCCAAGTCCATCCTTCACCACTACTTCCTTACTTATCAACCCTATTTTGGTGATTCTTTATGAGTGTTTTCTTAGGCTTTCAACAATCTGAGAGAGACACATTTAGAGCATCTACACTACTAGAAAAAAATACTTTCATTGATAGACGAATTACGACGTACAACAGTTTTATGACAGACATAAAAATGTCTGTCATTAAAGTTTGTCATATTTCATAAAATATAAATGGTGTATGACGGACAAAACTGTTTGTCATAAATTTATGTCGTATGTTAATTTGATAAATTTTAAATAAAAAATCAACAATGTGCATTTTAATGTATGAATTGATTTGTTTTTTATGAGTTAATAGGATACGCAAAAAAACATTATATATATATATATATATATATATATATATATATATATATATGGTGACGTTTAATAGAAAACCATAATTAACCAAGAAACCAATGAACCAATCGTGAGCGTCGGAAATCATAACGATCAACGGCCAAAGAAATAGATGTACACTTTTACATTTAACGCACACACACCGGATTATACCAAAAAATCCACCCTTTACAAAAAAAACTCACCACTTTTTTTCGTTTAAAATTTTTTTTAGGCCATGTTTTTTATCGAAAAAAAAACGAATATACCGTTGTTCACGATTTTTCGTCCTCTTTCCATAGAGATCCATGATGATATATAAAAAACGAACTTTTTTTTTGAAAAAAACTCACTTTATTTTCTTTGATGAAAAAAGTTAAGGTCTATTTTTTTATAGAAAAAAAATTAATAAATATATCAAAATTCATATTTTAGTACTTTTTAAACATAGATTCATATTCATGTTAAAAAAAACGATATTTCAGTTCAGATTCACATTGTGAACCCGTGCAGATTAATATTGTAAACCTCCTCAGATTCACAGTGTGCATAATAATAAGTCAGATTCACAGTGTGAATCTGAACTGATCGGAGCTTTATCACATTGTGAATGTTAAAATTTGAAATATTTACAGTTTAGATTCACAATGTGAATCTACACTGATCGAGTTTTTTTTTTTTTTTTTTTTTTTTTTTGTGAATCTTCTCAGATTCACAGTGTGTATAATAGTAATTCAGATTCACAATGTGAATCTGAACTGTTCGAGATTTTTCATATTGTGAATGTTAAAAATTGAAATATTTACAGTTTAGATTCATAGTGTGAATCTACACTATTCGCGTTTTTTTTTAATCGGTGTTGATGTTTATTAATAGAGTACAAAAAATTAATATTTTTGGTATAATTATTTTTTTTTGATAAAAATAAACTTAAATATTGAAAAAACTAAGAAAATTAAGTGGGTTTTTTTTCGAAAAAAAAAGTTCGTTTTTTATATATCATCATGGATCTCTATGGAAAGAGGACGAAAAATCGTGAACAACGGTATATTCGGTTTTTTTTTCGATAAAAAACTTGGCCTAAAAAAAATTTTAAATGAAAAAAAGGAAGTGGGTTTTGTTATAATCCGGTACATGTGCGTCTATTATAAAAATTTACAACCCTTCCTTTTGCCCTTGATCGCTTTAAATTCCGACGCTTTGGATTGGTTCCTTGGTTCCTTGATTAATAATGGTTCTCTATTGAACTTTTCCCTATATATATATATTAGTATATTACTTTAATTTCTAACACAGTTAAGAACAGTTTACTTCTTTTGTTTCATATTTTGACACATTACTTTGCTTCCTTCTATAATTTGTCCATGTTTTTCGGTTTTTGATATTTTGATAACCTTATTTTGCTCGGTTGCTATAATGTATCCCTGTTTTATTATGTTTCATATTTTTGACCAAATTACTTTGCTCCCTTGCTATAATTTGTCCCTGTTTTTTAGTTGTTTATATTTTGATCATCTTATTTTGCTCCGTTGCTCCTCTGTTTGCCACGTTACTCGTTTCTCTCTAATTGATACTCATTTTGTATAACCGGATCAAGTGAGGGTGTATTTTGCTCATTTTATAAATGCAAAATGATTTTAGGGCTTTTATAAAAGGAAATCTCATGGAGGGACTGTATTTGTTTAAAAGACTAAACTAAGGAAAATTTAGGGCTTTTAATTGCCCTTGACTTCAACGACCGGGAAAGAAAAGGGGCATACAAACGGACGAGCTTATGAACGATCATAGGGGGTGTTTGGGTTGTCTTTTGAGAGCCCAAAAGTTCTTTTTGGAAAGGATAAAATGCAAAAGATGTTTGGTAAAAGCATTTTAAAAGAAACTTTTTGGATTTTTGATATAAGGAAAACTGACTTTTTGGAAAAGTCAGGAAATCCTGACTTTTTGTAACTTTTGCCAAAAGGACTTTTGCCTCCCAAAAAAATAAGCCAAACACCCCATAGTGAGGGGGAAACACGAAGGAAACACGAAAAATGGGAGGGGTTTGATGGTTCTTCAACAATCGGTAGGGTGGCCGTCGTCGGCGTCTGGCTCGACCGGGGAAGAGAGGAGAGCGAAGGCTCGCAGCGGCTAATCCGGAAGCCCTAAACGATCGCGAAGAGGGAGAAGAGATGAAGGCAGCGAGGCCTTCTCTTTCTCGTTTGGTGATTTCAGACCGATCACACTCGAGTGGCGAGCTCCGGTGGTCGACTAGACCGAAGAAGGACGTGGGCAGAAGCAGTGACGCTGCTGTGGGTTTGGCTTACGTATTGAATCTCATTTTCCTAATGCTCCAAACTAATAACTTCTTTTTTGTTTATTGGAATTAGGAAATGTCGAGTGATACTCCAACGATCGATCAAATACAAAGGTAAGGTTATATCGAATGTTCCTACATCCAATAATCTTTTAGTTATGCGTTTACTTCATTTTTTTTTTACTTTTAATTTTCATGAAAATGCTATAAGTAGTTAGTGATATATTGATTAGGTTAAAGGCATATCGAATGATTCACTTGAAGGCTTTATCCTGCTAAAGAATTAGTCTAATAAATATGTCTTGCAAATTTTGTCCACTAGGTGTTCGATATAATGCCAAGGTGAGTTACAGACTTACAGTTTAATGTTTTGACTTTTTTATTGAATAGGTTGAATATCATTGATCAAATAATTCGACTTTTTTAGTGAATTCTATTGTTCTACATTGAATATTATCATTATTTATCTTTTTTTTGTTTAATTGTTTGGTTTTGGCTTATTTTAAAGCTTTTGCACCAAACAAATGATTTCTGATGGGGCCAATATTCTACTTCTGTACATGGCCATTCTCATAATAATGATTTTACCCGGGTAGAGTCATCTTGACTATTTTTAGCAGTAGGTTTGTCTTATAGTCAACTATTCATCTAGACGATATTTTGCAAAGAAAGTTTTGCGTGAAGCTATGCACTACATGTCGAAGGTTTCATACTCAGGTTGATAAAAATCATTAATTTGTTCTAGGAGCTGCTAGATCTTGCATTCTTAGGGAGGAAACCATAAAGTTAACTTCAATGAAGGCATTCGGATATTCCAGTTTCATCCCTACATGACAATCTTGTAAGTGTTGAGTATTTTGCTTTTTATAAGTATAAAATTATAAACACTTTTCATTGTAAACAGAATGATAGAATCAAATGGTGGCCAATTTATTATGAAGAGAATGAATGGATTGGGAAAGTCCAACTTTCTATCAGCAGTACAATTGCATCTGATGAAACTACACACCTCAAGGTTTGAAATAATTAAATAAAATTAGTTGTTCACGAATGTTGATTTTTGTTTTATAATTTATATTAAAATGACAGTGTGGACCTGTGGTGGAAACACTCGCGTATGATTTACTGTTGGAAGCTGCCATGTGAGCACAATGTTTCCATACAAGTAACTTGTGGGTGGTTGAACCTTGGAAATGGTTACTCACAGAGTTTGTTGATTATTATGGAGTCTCAGAATCATACACCAAACTCAGGTACTTCAGTTTTCTTGATTAATAATAATAATGAAACTATAATCTCTTATTTTTACTAAAACTTTATCATATAAAACGTTGTTTAGGCATCTTTCACAGTCAAATACTTCTCGAACCTTTACCTTACCATTTAAGTACCTAAAATACACTTTAGTCAACATCAAACTTTATTATAACTGCATGTTTATATAGAATTCACATGAAACATATTTTTGTGCTATGTAGTTGAAGATATGCCCATGTTACATATTAACATAACTGTTACTCTTAACAGCACTCAGGAATGTTTCAAGGCATGATGGAGCTCTCATAAGTAAGTTCATTTGACAGCAAAGTTATCATCAGTTGGATTAAGCAATCCATGGGAACGTAATATAGCCTCACCAAGTGATGATTGGCTTTATTGTATCAGGGAAGGACATTCTGGAACAACACAAATTCCTCATTTTGATTGGACAGGTTATATTGTTTGACAAAGCTTCCTATTCTTTTTTACACATTCCTCAGTTTTATCTGAATTATCTTTTTCATATGTCCTTATATTTTTACAGACCATTAAGGCCTTATCCCATATCAAAAAAACGTGTAATACCTACATGAATTGAGCTACCTGATTGGGCAGTTGATGTAAGTCATTAACAATCATGATATGTTTGCAGACGTTTTAAATTCATTAGATGTATTTTTCTAATGATATTAAATGTGTAACTTTGTGAGAAACTCCAAAAATCGAGCCCAATAGTGATCTGCAACATCTTACTAAGGTCAGTGAAAGTTTTGGGAATGATTTCCCAAAACCTTATATTGTCATATCAGGTTTTATTTTGACTTAATGACTTAATGTAAGTAAATCCATTAGTTAATTGATGGACTTGAAGTGTTTTAGAATATTTACATATATAACTGTTTACTCGTTTATTGCTAATATATTAATTTGTCTCAGTTTTGCAGGGAAGAATGAATATACATATGTCGAGCTTGCATGATAGGGTGAATGAAAATTGGGATACTTATGTTATAAACTTTATTTACAAGTGATATGTATTTGACAATTACTTTTTGATGAATTTGGAATGTAATTTTGAATGACGCTATAGTTCGTGTAATTTAGACAATAAATTTGTAATTTAGTTTGATTAATATTTGGTAATATATATATATATATATATATATATATATATATATATATATATATATATAATGTAAAACCATGACATACAAAGTATGTCGTAAAACTATGTCAAAAATCATGTTGTACAGAACATGTCGTAATTTGAAGTCGTAAATGTCTGTCATAATTACAAAAATGTTACGAATTATGACATTCAAAGCCAGTCGTAAATGTATGTCAAAAATAAATGTCATGCATGTATGTCATAATTGTTGGTCATAAAGGTTTGTCGTAATCTTTATGACAGGCTAAATGTCTGTCATTTTCTTTTATGACATGGCTTTCAATGACAGACATTTGTCTGTCATGTATAGGCATTTACGACAGACATTGTCCGTCAAGAAAAGCCTCTTTTCTAGTAGTGCTACTTCATATTGATCTTAAGTTGAGGTGGGAACCTCATGTGTCCTTGAGCTTCTGGTTTCACTTGAACATCCACATCTACATATACTTCTAGGTTCACTTGAACTTCTATATCTAAATCAGTTTTGTTTTGGAGTTTAAACTGCCTAGTATGAAAGATATGTAAGTAACATTACTACAAAAAGTTATATGTAAAATTGATGCCTTTGTCGTGTTTAAGTTTAGGCCACATGGAATTTCCGTTATGTGGCCTAATAGTGTCCATGTAACAGTTTCCAAACATGGATGTAGTGAACCATGGTGCAATAAAATCCTCTACATACTTGTGGAGGTATGATATAATTGACATTGTATGCAGACATGGTACACCTATTACCTGCCATGATCTACATTTGTAGGTGTTATTGTTAAGGTCAACACCATATGCCCATATCCTAAGCTCATATTGTTTTAGCCCAAATGTAACCCTCCTTAATATATGTTTACATATTATACACATGCTACAATTGTAACACCCAACCAATCAGGTATTTCCATTATTAGCACAAAGTATTAAGTTATTGCAAAAATGGTCCTTACACCTTGCATACTTGGGGCGTATGCAAGGCTTACTTGGAAGATATACAAACCCTAAATCTGTGGTTTTGAGTCTTATTTAAGCAACTTAACCCTCATAAATCCTTCCACCTTCAGCCTGCATCATCCCAAACGACCCCTTGCAAACCCTAATTTCCATTTGAGAGTTTTTGAGCTATATGAGTGTTTTATGTTCATCTTTGAAGGGAGAATATCATTGGAGTGCACTTAGAAAGATTCAAGCATTATAGATCTTGGATTTACACCTCTCAAGCAACCTCCATGTAACACCCTATTCCAGACCGTTTCCAAATGCGGGGCAGTGACCCGAAGGTCGGTGATCACAAGGCTTAGAGCCTTTGGGAAAGAGTGAGGTAGATCCCTTTGGTTGTGGGTAATATATATTATTTTTTCTTCGGTCACGATGTGGTGAAGGCTCACCACGACGTGGCAATAGCTTTGGGCCGCAGTAGTTTAATGACTCACCACGACATGGTGATTTTGTCACGACGTGGTGGCGGCTGTTCGAGAAAACCCTAAAGTTTAAGGGTTGAGCCCTATTTAAACTCCTTAATCTATCTTAGCCTCCCTCCCATCAGCCTCCATCTCTCCAAATCGTCCCTTGCAAACCCTAGATCCCTTGTGTGAGTTTTTGGCCTCAAAGTGTGTGTGTTGTTGCTTGTGAAGGAAGAAGGTGGTGGAAGATCTTATTGGGAGTCCAAAGCAACGTAGGTCCAAGAGTTTATCTTCCTCAAGCATCTCAAGAATGTATAAAGTCTTCATCTTTATGAGTTAGTTGATAGATGTAACGCCCTGTGCCGAATCATTACCCATTTGGGTATAGGTGACGTAATTTAGATGATCCGGGTGTTTAGATTAGGTTTTGGAGCCAAGGGGTATTTTGGTAAAGTAACAGCGCGGGCTTTTATGGAAATTAGATTTTTGTTTGGGAAATTTTATGGCAGGTTTGAGTTGATAAAAGCATAGAGCTTCTCGTTACCTTTCCGTGGATATAAGGATCGCCGGAATCAGATTTATAATGAAAAAGTTATGGCCTTCGGAGTATTTTAGGGTTTAAGAGGAAGCCCTAGTACACGAGGTGCATATAGGGAGTACACGGGGCGTACTGGTGTGAAGTGTAGTATGCAGGGGGTGCACTGGAAAACACTTAGCGTACCAAGTGGGAAGGATCACGAAGCCTCGGCCTCGTACGTTGGGCGTACGAGGGGTGCAGGAAACCCTAATTTTAAGTGTGTGTACCCAAATTTAAGCATCTTAAGTCTTTAGGACTGACCTCTTTACTAGACCCCAAACCTCCTAAAACCCTAAATCGACCCTTAGCCTCCATTAATGTGCATTTGAGCTCTTGAGGACAATTTGGTGTTGTTTTGCTCATTTTGAAGAGATTGAAGAAAGATGAAGGTTCATAGGTTGGTGGGGAACTTAGAGATCCAGAATCATTCATCACTTTGCAAGCACCTAGAGGTATCTAGTTTAAATCTTGACTTGTTAAAGCTTAGATCTATTATTGTCTTGATTTTCATGCTTTTGGGGTCCCTTTTTGGGTTGATTGATGAGTTAAGATGTTTGAAGGACTTATTCTTTTAGATCTGAGTTGTTATGAGGTTCTTAAGCATAAAAGTGCAAGCTTTATGAGGTTTAAGGTCACATGCATGCATTAAGTTACCTAATAAGTCCTTTTTAGCTTTAAGAGCTTCATTCAGTCATGCATGAAAGTAAAGTTAGCAACTTTATGTGATTATCCAGCTCAAGGAAGTCAGATCTATGTTTTGGATCGATGACTTAACGGATTAAGGAAGAAAAATGTGATTGGGTTGAATGGAGGAGAACGATGGGCGTACAAGCCTGTACGCGCATCGTACAAGCCCTTAAGCCAGTACGATTAGCGTACAAGCTGAGTACGCCCTGCGTACTCAGCAGGAATGGATTTCGTTGTTTGGGCTTCATTTCGGGTTATCCTTTGGGCTTAGATGTTTTGGGCCCTGTTGGGCCATCAGGTTTTGGATTGATAATTATTTTGAAAGGTCCACTATGGGATTTGGGTCCAATTTGGAAAATTGGGCCATATTTGGGCTTTGGGTGTTTAATTGGAATTTGGGATTTTGGATTGTTGAATTGGGCATTAGCTTTGGGCCAAGTTAGGAAGAGGGTAAAAAGGTCTTTTACCCTAGTTTGGACACTTAGTGTGGGTCGGATCCGATTATTGATGGTTGATTAACTTGTGATTGATAGCGCGGGGATTCGGGCCAGCAACCATAGATTCTTTCTGTGAGATTCGGCAGTGCGAGGTGAGTTTCCTTGCCAGGTCGAAGGCACCAATGTCGGCCCATGGTTTGCTATGTAGGGTGCTAGATGTCTGCGTGACTCTTGCATATGTATATGCTTGTATGCTTACTGGGCGGAGCCCGATGGTTATTCTATATGCTAATATATGGTTATGCATATATGATTTGTATGTGGGCGGGGCCCGATGATTGTACAGTGTGCTATTATCTTTGTGATTTTCGCATGTGTTTTAATGTTTATATGATTATATGGTTATATATTTAGTGGGCAGGGCCCGTTGTATGAGTTTGGGCGGGGCCCGTTATACTCACTTGGCGGGGCCCATTATATGAGTTTGGGCGGGGCCCATTTTACTCAGTGTACGGGGCCCGTTATATGAGTTTGGGCAGGGCCCTTTATACTCAGTGGGCGGGGCCCGTTATATGTATGATATGTATGGTATGTGGTATTTTGGGGAACTCACTAAGCTTTGTGCT